CGTCGTGCCGAGCAGGCCCTGGGGGCTCGTCACGTTCGCCCAGCGGCCGTGGACGACGGGCGAGTCGCCGCCGCGGCCCACGGGGCCGAAGAAGTCCGCGGTCCAGACGTCGCTCGCGGACCAGTCGTCGAGCGACGCGTCGACGCTCCAGTCCCAGTAGTGGGCCGCCGTCGACGGCTCGACGCTCTGGAGCGCGCGCTCGAAGTAGCTCGTGAGCATCGCGTGCGACGGGAAGAACGACGGCCCGCCGTGCCACGGGTTCATCGCCGACGCGGACCCGAGGTGCCAGCGCGCGAACCAGCTCATGCCGTTGCGGAAGTCCTTGCCGTAGCGTCTCTGGCCCTCGACGGTCGGCGTCGCGTAGACCGCCGCGACCGCGCGCAAGAACCGCTCGCGGTCGTCGGCGGAGAGGCTCCGCACCTCGCGCCGCACGTATTTGCACAGGGCGTCGATCGACGCGCGGTTGCCCGACTGGTCCCGGGCCTCGACGACGTAGACCGTGCCCGCCGTCGCAAAGGTGTAGTTCGTCGCGCGGGCCGCGGTCCAGGACGCGAGCTCCTCGCCGGTGCGTTTCTCGGACACGCGCCAGGCGATCCGCCTGTTCTTGTTGCCGACGGCGAGTTCGTAGGCGCGGTGCGGCTCGACGAACGTCGCGTTTTCGAAGGGGTAGTGCTTCAGCGACGACGGCGCGTCGTACGTGCCGCTCATTTGTATGTCGCCGAGGTCGACGATCGTTTTGGGGTCGTCGGCCTTGAGCTGCTGGGGAGTCGCACCGACGATCGTTTTGGGGTCGTCGGCCTTGAGCTGCTGGGGAGTCGCACCCGTGGACGACTGCTGCAGGGCTGCGAGCGCGAGTGTCGCGGCTGCGATGATGCCGATGGCGCCTCGCCTCCTTCGTCGCACTGCGACATCGAGCACCTCGATGGCCATCGGCGCAGCCCAATTTTGGATATTGAGCAGCACCTTCGACTTTGCCACAAGCCATGGTGTTGCGTGCTATCGTCGTCGCCGCGGCCGCGACGGCGGCGCGCGCTGCGCAATCGTGCGTCGAGAAGCCGGAGGTACGCGCGGACAGCACGAGCGCTTCGAACGCAGCGCGTAGGTCCACGCGTTTTACTACCTCTGGTACGGCGTGCCGGCGGTGGACGGCAAGTGGCTCCACTGGGACCACAAGGTGCTGCCGCACTGGGACCGCGCCGTCAAGGACAAGCACGCCCACCTCGACGACTACCGCTTCGAGCCGCCGACCTTTTTGCACTCGCCGCGCGGATGAGCGGCGTCGACGCCGGCCGCGCCGCGCCGCGACGGCGCCTCGCAGGTTCTACCCCGCGCTCGGCCCCTACAGCTCGCGGTCCGCGGACACGCTGGACACGCACTTCGCGCAGATGGCCGCCGCGGGCATCGACGCCGCCGTGCTGTCCTGGACGGGCCGGCCGGACGCGGAGGCCGTGTCGGACACGCAGGGCGTCGTGACGGACAACGCCGTCGCGGCCGCGGCCGCGGCCGCGAAGGCGCACGGCGTCGGCGCGGCGATCCACCTCGAGCCCTACGAGGGCCGCCACCCGACGTCCGTGCGGCGGGACCTCGAGTACCTCGTGGGCGCGTACGGCGACGCGCTCCACCGCATGCCGCGGCGGCCGTGCGGCGACGAGCCCGCGCTGCCCGTCGTCTACGTCTACGACGCCTACCACAACACGAAGGAGGACTGGGCCGAGCTGCTCTGCCCGGGCGGCGCGCGCTCCATCCGCGGCACGGCCCACGACGTCGTCGCGATCGCGACGCTGCTCGACGCGCGCGAGCGCGCGCTCGTCGACGAGGGCTGCTTCGACGGCTTCTACACCTACTTCGCCACGGAGGGCTTCACGTTCGGGAGCACGGCGCGGAACTGGGCGCAGCTGGCGACGTGGGCCCGGGAGCGGAACCTCCACTTCTCGCCGAGCGTCGGGCCGGGCTACAACGACACGCGCATCCGGCCCTGGAACCGCGCGGCGACGCGGGACCGCGCCGACGGCCGCTACTACGCGAAGATGCTCCGCAGCGCCGCGACGTCCGGCGCGGACATGATCTCCATCACGTCCTTCAACGAGTGGGGCGAGGGCACGCAGATCGAGCCCGCCGCGCGGCCCGAGACGCGGCGCGGGCACACCGGCGGTGGACTCGCACCTCGCCTACGAGTACCCGGACATGTACCTCGACATCACGCGCAAGGTCGTCGCGCGCTTCAAGCACACGCGGCCGCCGGAGGCCGAGCTGTAGCGTTCAATGTCGCTTCACTAAAGTTTTGTGAAACCTGCTTCCAATGGCTCTTGCGAACATGGGCCTTTCGATGGTGCTCGCGTGCCTGCTTCCCAGGGCTCGGGCGAACCTGGGCCTTTCGATGGTGCTCGCGTGCCTGCTTCCCATGGCTCGGGCGCAGGAACAGGTCATCGGCTGGCGCATGCCGAGCCTCACCTACGAGGAGCAGGTCGCGGCCTTCGCGGCCCAGGGCATCGCGAACCAGGCGGGCCCCCGGGTCTTCTTCGACAGCGGCGCCGCCGACTTCGACTGGGCCGGCGCGGACAAGTACTGGGCCGACCTCTTGACGGCGGAGCAGCGCGCGACGATCACGTGGGCGGACTCGACGTGCCTGTGCGGCCTCGTCCGCGCGCTCCCCGCGGGCGCGATCGCCGGCGCGCTCGTCTACGGCGACGCGGCGACGGCCGAGGCCGCCGAGTACGGCGACGGCTGGACCTACGCGCTCGCGCTGACGCTCGCGGGCCTCGAGCGCGTGCTGCCCGTGTCGGAAAGCATGCTCGCGGCCCACGCGTGCCTCGCGGCGCTGCCCGTGGCCTACGACTGGCGCGAGAGCCCCGTGGCGCGGACGCGCGAGGACGCGTACGCGTGGGCCGTCGCCCACCTGCTGCCGCGGACGTCCAACGACACGATTTTTAATCTGAACAAGTACCGCGTCCCCGACGACCCGGACGCGTTCCGCCGCGACGCGCAGAGCAACGCGACGGTCACGAACGCGGACTACGCGGTCCAGCGGCGCGCGTTCACCGTGGACCTCGAGACGCACATGGCCTCGCAGGCCGCGGCGCCCGTGACGGACCCGACGCAGCTGCCGAACTGGGACGACGCGACGCTCTTCGAGATCATGGCGTCGCACTACGCGCCGCTCTTCGGCGCCTTCGGCTGGAGCCGCGACGAGACGAGCTGGACGAACGTGACGAGCAAAGCGGGGGGCACGGTCTTCTGCAGCTTCGCGTCGCCGAACCTGAGCTTCTGGTCCCTTTTCCCGCTGCCGGGCGGGCGGAAGCGGGCGCGGCCGCTGCCGCGGAACGACCGGGGCCTCGACCTCGACCGGGGCAAGACCTACGTGACGTTCATGACCAACGAGGGCGACACGCCGCGCATCATCGACTCGGTGTTCAGCGCGTCCTGGGCGTCGCCGCGGCGCGGGACGCTGCCCGTCGCGTGGTCCGTCGACGCCGCTCTCGCGGAGCGGTTCCCCGCGCTCTTCGACCACTTCGCGGCGACGGCGTCGGCGAACGACAGCTTCGTCGCCGGCGTCAGCGGCGCGGGCTACGTCTACGTCGACCAGCTCTCCGAGGCCCAGCTCGACGCCTACGGGCGGCGCTACGGCCGCCTCGCGGCGGCCTACGGCGGGCCGTCCGTCGTCGACACCTACGGCCAGGCCTCGCCGGCGCTCATGGCCGCGTACGCGCGCGCCGCCGCGGCGGGCGGCGCGGCGCCGGACGCGTTCGTGTCGCAGCCGACGACGAACATGGGCTTCCCGGGCTACTTCAACTGCTCCGACGGCGCGGAGAACCGCTGGCTCGACGACGGCACGCCCGTCGTCTGCTCCCACGCGGGCCTCTTCTACTACGCGGCGAGCTTCTGGCACAAGGACCTCCAGCTCAACACGACGCACCCGGCCGCGGACCTCGCGGGGAGGATCCGCGCCGAGGCCGCGCGCGTCCCGACGACGCCGGCCTTCGTCCTGGCCTACGGCGGCCTCCGCTGGACGTCGGCGGCCGACGTGCCGAGCATGGATTTCTACACGCTCCAGCAGGACGCGCTCGACCTGCTCGGCGACGACTTCGTCGTCGTCGGCGCCCAGGAGATGGCCCGCCTCGCGCGGAGCGCCAAGGCGTAAAGCGGATTACGGACGAAAGCGGATTACGGACGACGCGGGCGGGGGGGGGGGGGGGGGCTACTTCTTCTTCGGGGCCTTCTTGCGCTTCTTCTTCGGCGCCTCGTCCTCGGAGTCCGCCCAGGGCTCGCCGTGCTTCTGGCGCTCCGCGTCCTTCCAGGCGCGGCGGTCCCCCGGGTCGCGCGTCTTCTTGCACTTGGGGCAGATGTCCTGCTCCGTCGCGGCGACGAAGTAGCTCTCCTCCCAGCACTCGACGCCGCACTTGTCGCACGCGATCTTCGGCGGCGGCACGGGGTAGTGGTAGAACTTCTCCATGGGCTCCTCCACGAGCCACTTGCACTTGAAGCCCTTGTGGAAGATGACCTTGTCGCCGGCGGCGATGGTGACGGGCGCGTTGTCGTCGCCGGTGGTGGGCGTGAGCGTCGCCTTGCCCTTGATGATCAGCACCTCCTCCTCCTCGGCGTAGGCGAAGTCGAAGGTCTCGGGGAAGGTGCTGCTGTCCCACTTGTCCCAGGTCTGCGCCGTGGCCTTGAACGCCTCGTCGACGTCCTCCGCGGGCACGACGGTGATGAGAGCCATGCCAGGCGCGGATTCGGGGGAGCCAGACCGCGAAGCAGCAGCGGCATCGTGTCAAAGTTTCCTCCGCACGGAGCCGTGCTTGAAGCAGCGCAGGCGCAAAATGGGCTCTGCTTACGTGCTCGCCGCGCTCGCGCTCGCGGCCGGCGCCAATGCGCTGGTCCCGACCAAGTCCTTCGCGCCGACGGCGGCGCGCGCGGCGCCCGCGACCGTGACGATGATGGGCCGCAAGTTCGAGAACAACAAGCTGAAGATGGCGAAGACGGCTGCCGCGTACACGAAGAAGGCGTCGCTCATCGGCAAGAAGATCAAGGTCGCCGTGCGCGCCGGCGGGCCCGACCCCGACAGCAACCGCGCGCTCGGGCTCATCATCAAGGAGGCGCAGGCGCTGAACGTCAAGCGCGAGATCGTCGACCGCAACATCAAGGCGGCGAGCGAGGGCAAGGACGGCGCGGACTTCAAGGAGCTGACCTACGAGCTCTACCTCCACGGCGGCGCGGGCGTCGTCATCAACGCGCTGAGCGACAACAACAACCGCGCCTTCAGCGACGTCGGCACCGTCGTCAAGAAGGCGAACCTCAAGCTCGCCGAGAGCGGCAGCGTGCTCCACAACTTCCTCAAGAAGGGGCGCATCACGGTCATCGCGGATCTGGACGAGGACGCGGCCATCGAGCTCGCCCTCGAGGCGGACGTCGACGAGGTCGAGGTCGTCGCGCCCGACGCGGACATGCGGTCCGACGGCGAGGAGGTGAAGAGCGTCGTGCTCGTGGAGCCCGGGGACCTCGGCGCGATGCAAAGCGCGCTGTCGGACGCGGGCTACGCCTGCGTCGGGAACCTCGTCCACGAGCCCATCGCCGGCACGCTCGTCGAGTGCGGCGAGGACGACCTCGAGAAGAACCTCCTCGTGCTCGACAAGCTCGCGGAGGTCGACGACGTCGACACCGTCGAGCACAACATCCTCTTCGCCGCGGATTGACCTGGTGCGTAATCCACGTCGAATTAGGTTCGTGCGATTGGCCAATTCACAACGTGCGTTACGCGGCGTCGTTCCTGCGGAAGACGGCGTCGGCCTCCTCGAGCGCCGCGGGGAACGACTCGGCGTACTTGCCGGTCCACGCGCGCCGGTGGAAGTCCTTCTCGAAGCCCTCGGCCCAGCCCGTAATATAGACGGGCGGCGCGAAGGAGAAGATCTCGCTCTCCTCGACCTGGAAGTTCCAGACGAGGTACTCGACGCCCGCGGCGCGCTTCGCCTTCGTCCGCGTGGGCTCCGCGGCCTCGTCCGGGTCCATGATCATGCCCGGCCAGGGGTTGAGGCCGTGCTGCTGGACCCAGACCACCTCGTCGAAGCGCGCGGCCCAGTCCGCGCCCGCGTCCGGGCCGTCGCCGCCGTCGTCGCCGACGGCGCAGTAGCCCATCGTGAGGTCGTAGATGAGGTCGCCGGTCGTGCCGCCGTTGCGGTAGAACTCGCCGACGGTGCCGCACGCGCTGTAGCTCGCGTAGCGCGCGGCGGCCTTGGCGCCGTTCTCGCTCGTGAGCTTCGCCTTCGGGTTGTCCCGGAGGAAGACGAGCTTCGCGCCCGGGTCGTACTTGAGCGACCCGTGGACGCGCGCGGTCGCCTCGCGCTTCCGCGCGCTGCTCGACGACGGCGCGGCGGCCGGCGGCGCGCGCGGCTTGCTCGCCGCGGTCCGCGGCTTCTCGCTCGCCTCCGCGCGCGGCTTCTTCGCGCGCTTCGGCGTCGACTCCGTCGCCTCGACCTCGGGCGCCGCGGGCGCCGCCGCGGCGCCGCCCTTGAGCGCATCGATGAGCTTGAAGAGGCGCATTCGCGGGAGCGGTTTCAGATCCGCGAAGGTCTGCTCGAGGTCCGCCCGATCGGCCTCGCGCAGGTCGTCGAGGGTGTCCGCCGCGGCGAGCACGTCGTCGCGGACCTTGTCCGAGAGCCGGTGCTCCCGGATCCAGGCGCGGAGCGCGGAGGAATCGTCCATTGCTGCTTGCCGCAGGAGGCGCCTCAAAGGTGCATCCGCATGCCGAGAGGCGACTTCTGCACCATCGGCTTCCCAAGGTCATCACGATGGCATCGAGGCCGGGGGCAGCCCAAGCTGAGTGATGGCCAACCTGCTGCTCTGTGCAGCCGCACTGCTGGCCGCCGTCGCGCAGGACATCGAGATCATCGGCGACGGCATGGGGCCGCAGCATCGGAGGCCGTCGCGGCACTATCGGCTGCCCCGCTCGGGCGTCGTCACGATCGCGCAGCTCCCGGAGAGCGACAGCGTCGGCGCGTCGCAGTGGGACGCGGGCTATTGTTTGGCGGAGTACATCGAAGGGAGCAGCGTCGACGCCGTGCGCTGCGACGCGGCGCGCTGCGACGTGTCGTCGCGCTACGCCAACGCGACGGCGATCGCGCTCGGCGCCGGCGCCGGCGGCCTCGACGTCATCGCGCTGCTCAACAGCGGCGCGACGGTGCTGGCGACGGACGGCGACGCGTCCGTGCTCGACCAGCTCGCGTCAAACGTGCGCGCGAACCAAAAGGCGGGGGCGTTCCTGGGCGCGACGCGGCTGCGCTGGGCCGACGGCGGCGACGCGGACCGCGCCGCGGCGGCGCTCGCGGGGGCGTTGGACTTGATCGTCGCGGCGGACGTGAGCTTCCACACCGCCGATACCCGCGCCCTCGTCGACGCGCTGGACGCGCTGTCGCGGCTGCCCGGGAGGACGCCGGAGATCCTCCTCGCGCACACGTTCCGCTTCCGCCGCGACGACGCGCGCTTCCTCGCCGCGCTCGACGACCGCTTCGCACGCACGGAGCTCCCCAAGGGGCCCGCGTGCAGCGACGACGCGGCCCTCTTCCGGCTCGCGCCGAGATGTAAGTGATGTTCAACGTCCCGCCGGGGTAAAATCGCCGGATCGAATGTCCTCCGTGCTTCATGATCGACATTGTGCAGCGTTTTGGCGGCGCGCTGCGATGGGATGGCCGTCTTTGAGGGCCCGCCGCTCCGCGAATATGCAGAATCGTGCAACGATCCCAGCAGCTGCGAGGGCCGCAAGGACGAGGGTGACGCACATGCGAAGACGCGACGCTCATACGACCGCGTGGCGACTGGAACGGGGAGGTAGAGTGGGTGGGAAGGGACGCGCTGCCCCCTCGCGACCCCTCTAGCATAGTTTTCGAGCCATCGCAGCAGCGGAGATCGTTCGTCATCAACCCCGTCGCGTCCAGCGCGGCAGGTTCCTCGGGGGGGGGCGAAATCGTCGAGTCCACCGAGCCGAGCTCCGGAGGCGTTTCGTCCCGACGGTGGCCGTGGGGTGTCTGGGGCTGCCCCTGCCGCCGGACATGGTCTTGATCCGTTCCATACCATGATAGGGTCGGGTCCAGACCATGTCCGGCGGCGAGGCCCCACCCCAGGCGCCTCGGGCTGCCCCTCGGGACCTCGAGCCAACCGACGTCGGGTTCGACGGCTTCCGCATGGTCGCTGCCGTCGGAACCCACTAAGGATCCGCGTCATAGCAGGTCGACGCCCGAACGAAGGCATCCCCGACGCTGCGGAGGCACCTCCCCAGTGCCGATCCCGGCGCATAACGCTCAGACGCCATCGCGAGCGCCGCGAAGAAAAGCCCATGCAACGACGGCTTTTGCCGCACTGTGCCGCTTCAACAGGGGACAAACTCAGAGTAATACCCCGGCGGGCGTCCCTTGCTTGACTCCTTTCTTGAGGTCGACGAGCGCTAGCCCCTGCTTGTGGCGGAGCTGCGCATCGAGGACCTGGTGGTGGTGCGATCTGTCGAAGCGCGCGCGCGCGGGCTCGCGCACGACGATCCAGCAGGTTCGTCGCGGCGCGCGGGAAGCCCTTCTCCGTCGAGACGAAGCCTGCGGCACCGCAGCATGCGCGTGCAGACCTTCCTGTGCTGCTGCGCGGCCCTCGGCGGCGTCCGCTGCTTCCTGCGACCGACGCATCGATGCGCGACCCGCGACCGTCGCCGCGCGACGTCCGACGCCGAAGTGCTCAAAGGCCTCGAGCCGGCGGCGCCCGCCGGCGACGACCCGGCGCCGCCGCCGCTGCCGAACTTTTGCAGCGCGTGCGGCTCGCCGGCCATGGAGCTCCGCGTGCCCGACGGCGACGAGCGGCTGCGCGCGTGCTGCAAGAGCTGCGGGCGAATAGAGTACGTCAACCCGAAGGTCGTCGTCGCCTGCGTCGTGCTGACGGACGACGGGCGATGCCTGCTCGCGAAGCGGGCCATCGAGCCGCGGCTCGGGACCTGGGGCTTCCCGCAGGGCTACATGGAGAACGGCGAGACGTCGCGCGCCGCGGCCGCGCGCGAGGTCCTCGAGGAGACGGGCGCCGTCGTGGACCCGGACGCGCTGCGCTTCTGCGGCGTCTACAACCTGCCGAACCACGTGCAGTTGGTCTACGAGGCGCGCGTCCCCGGCGCGGCGCTGGAGAGCCAGATCGCGTCGACGACGCTCGAGTCGAGCGAGATCGTCCTCTTCGCCAACGACGCGTTGCCCTCGCCGGACGAGATCTGCTTCCCGACGGTGTCCTGGGCGCTGGACCACTGCCTCGCGGGCGCGCCCTTCGTGCAGCAGCGGACGAAGTGGTACTTCGCGGACACGGACGAGTGGAGGACCATAGACGAGGAGCTAAGAAGCGCGGGGTAACGGCGCCGTCGTCCCTGGTACTTGTAGTAGAGACATACATTAATTACTTTCTCTGTCTGGCGGCGGTTCGAGGATGTCGAAGAGCATCTTGTCCCACTCGCGGTCCGGGATCGCGTCGACCGGGTCCCCGTCGCCCTTCTTCCGCTCGAACGCGCGGCCCGTCGCGAAGAGGCGCTCGACGAGGGCGTCGTCGTCGTCGCGCGCGACGGGCGGCGCGAGGCGGCACTCGCGGCTCGACTCCCAGTAGGTGCGGTTCGCGTCCGCGACGGACGCGTTGATGCCGCCGAGGACGTGCCTCCGGAGCCGGTCGTAGACGCGGAGCGACGCCGCGTCCATGTAGTGTTTCGCGCGGCGCGACGCGAGCGGGGGCAGGCTCCGGAGGCGCGTCGAGAGCACGTAGCGCCGCGCCGGGTCGTCGAGGCCGAGGAACGCGTAGAGCAGGCACTGGAAGGCCGGGTCCGCGAGCGTCGCCGCGTCGGCGATCAGTATGGGCGGCCAGGACCGCCGCTCGGGCCGCGGCTTGTGGAAGGGGTTCGCCGCGTGGAGCCAGCCGCCGAAGTGCGCCGCGAGGCCGTAGGCGTCCGACTCCTGTCGTCCGGCCGCGGCGAAGACGTTGCGGATGAGCAGCTCCTTCGTCCGGCCCTTGAACATGGTCGGGCACGTCGCGCAGCCCCGGCTCAGCGACCGAAAGTGCTCGAGCGCGCCCGCGGACACGGTCGACACGATGGCCTCGGCCGGGTCCGCGCGCGCGACGACGACGATGCGGTCGTAGCACTTGGTCTCGTGCTGCATGAAGCAGAGCCGCCGGTTCCGCGGCTCCAGCGTCCGCAGCGCGACCTGCGGCGACGCGAACATGAGCTTGTCGAGGTTCTTGGGCGAGTTCGTCCCGAAGCCGGCCTGGCGCAGGGTCTCGACGATGCGCTCGCTGCCGGAGCCGCCCCAGGACGTCACGAGCACGCGCCGCGCCGCCGCGAGGTGCACCGAAATGAGGAGGTGCAGCCGGGTCATGGCAGCCGCCCTGTGGCAGCCCCAAAATCACGAGGCCCAAACCAAATACATCGACGACGCCTCCGCGTCCGTCACGGAGATCGTCGAGGGCGACTCCATCACGGCCGCGCCCTAGGGCAACGACACCATCGCTTTGCAGCCGCCGTGTCACATTCAAGTTCACATCGGGCCCCAACAACATCATCATGGGGGCCATCAACCAGCAGCGTGAAGCCGAGGGACAACAGCAAAGTCCAGCATGGCTGCTGCTTCGGCTCCCGAAGCCACGTCCCTCGCGACGCCCGCGGCCGTGATCAAGTGCATGGAAGCGGCGCAGCGCGGCCGCGAGCTCAACGACGTCGCGCCGCTGGCGCCGGAAGGCCTCGTGCCGGCGCTCTACCCGTACCAGTCGGCGGCCGTGCGCTGGATGATGGACCGGGAGCGCGGCGTCGACGGCGCCGCCGTCGCGGCCCGCGCGGCGCGGCTCTTCGGCCGCGACGACGCCGGCGCGGCGCTCGACGGCGACGGGCTCCGCGGCGGCCTGCTCTGCGACGAGATGGGCCTCGGCAAGACCGTCGCCGTCGTCGCGCTCGTGCTGGCGACGCGCGCCGCCGCGGACGCGCACCGCGTCGACGACGAGCGCCCGCCCGGCGCGCGCGTGCGCGTGCGCCTCGCGGGGCGACGATGGGACGACGTCGCGACGTGCCGCCGGAGCCTGCGGCCCCCGGCGGCCGTCGGCGCGCGGCGCCTCGCGACGCGCGCGGCGTGCGCCTGCGGCGACTTCGTCGACGGCGACGCGATGGCCTGCGTCTGGTGCGGCGCGTGGCGCCACCGCGCGTGCCACGAGGCCGGCGGCTGCGGCTGCGGCGCGCGGCGCCGGTCCCGGGCGACGCTCGTCGTGTCGCCCCAGGCCATCGCGGGGCAGTGGCTCGGCGAGCTCCGGTCCAAGGCGCCGTCGCTCGTCGTCCTCGAGTACCCGGGCATCCAGGCGCTCCAGCAGGGCGCGCGCCGCGCGCGGCGCGCCCTGGAGCGCGCCGTCGGCGCGGACGCGCGCGCGGCGGCCGCGGCGGCGCTCCGCGATTGCCTGCGGCGCGCCGACGGCTCGGCGTTCGCGGAGGACGCGGACGTCGTCGTGGCGACCTTTAGCGCGCTGCAGCGCGACGCGCACTACGTGTCGCGCGGCGCGACGCCGCTCGTGGCCGTCGACTGGTTCCGCTGCGTCGTCGACGAGGCGCAGCACGTGCAGGGCGGCGCGTCGGCCGCGGCGGCCGTCGCGCGCGCCGTCCGGGCGACGCGGCGCTGGGGCGTGAGCGGCACGCCCGTCGGCGCGCGGGGCCTCGAGGACCTCTGGGGGCTCTTCGACTTTCTGGGGGGGCGCCTCGCGCCGACGCGGCGCGAGCGGCGGCGGGCGCCCGCGGCCGCGGACCTCCGCGACGCGCTCGCGCTCGTCGCCTGGCGCGCGACGAAGCGCACGGTCGTCCACGCCATCCCGCCCCAGGCCGCCGTTTTGCGCGACCTCGCCTTCGCGCCCGTCGAGCGCTTCGTCTACGACGAGCTCGACGCGCGGTGCCGCGCGGGCCTCCCGCTCGACGGCGACGCGCTCGGCGCGTCCGCGGTGAGCGGCGCCGTCGCGGCCCTGCGGCGCGCCTGCGTCCACCCGTCCCTGGGCCGCCCGCGGAAGAAGGCGCGGAAGAGGGGGGCCCGGCGGCGCGACGACGCGCCCGCGGCGCCGGCGACGATGGAGGAGACGCTCTGGCGCCTCGTCGACGACGCGCAGGCCAAGGCGGAGGAGGCCCAGCGCCGGGTCCTCTTCCACCTGCTCGCGCGCGCGGGCGTCGCGCGCTGCCGCGCGGACCTCGCGGCGGACGCCCGCGGCTACGCGGGCGACGCGCCGGGCGTCGCGGCCGCGCGCGCGCGGCCCGAGGCCGCGTGGCTCCGCGACGCCGCGGGCTTCTACGACGAGTGCCGCGCGCTCGTCCGCCGCGGCCGCGAGCCGGCCCGCGGCCTGCGCGTCGCCGGGCTCCACGTCGCCGCCGACGGCGGCGGCGAAGGCTGGGTCCGTACGTCGCGCGAGCCGCCGCCGCGAGCGCCGGCGGCGGACGCGGAGGCGGCCTTCGTCGAGTTCGCCGGCCCGGGCTGGGCGCGCCTGGCCCTCGGCAAGGCGCGGCGCGTCGTCGCCGTCGAGGTCGCGGCGAGCGCGCGCGGCGCCTTCGCGCTCGAGGCCCGGGGCGCGGCGGGGTTCGTCCCGGCGGTCCGATTCGACGTCGCCGGCGGCGGCGAGCGCCGCGTCGTCGAGATCCCGGACGCGATCAAGGCCGACGCCTACCGGCTCGTCGCCGAGGGGCCCGCGGTCGTCGCCGTCGCCTTCCGCGAGGCGCGCGTCGAGAGCGACGACCTGACGGAGCTGCACGTCGCGCACAATCTCGCGGAGGCGCTCGAGCGGCTGGAGGCGCTGGGCGACGGCGGGGCCCCGACGGCGGCGCTCCGGGCGCTCGCGAAGCGCCTCCGCGGGAACTACAACGGCCAGCACGTGGACCGCGTCGCGCAGCTCGTCGCGGACGCGCGCGCGGCCGTCGGCCGCGGCGCGGGCGCGGCGCTCGACGCGGCCGCGGCGCCGTCGGCCTGGTGGCGCGGCGCGCTGCGGCGCGACGGCGCGTTGGACGCCTGCGAGGCCGCGCTCAACGAGGCTTCCGCGAACTGCTTCGGGTCGCCGGCGTCGCGGCCGGGCTTCGAGTTCCGCTGCGGCGCCGCGGGGCCGGCGCGCGTCGAGGCCGCGGTCGACGCGGCGCTGCGGCGCGTCGCGGCGACGCGCGACGCGGCGCTCGCCGCGCTCGAGGGCCTGGCCTTCGCCGGCGACGGCGCCTTCGAGCGGGAGACGGCGCTCGCGGGCGACTGCGGCGCCTGCCCGGCGGACTGGGGCGCGACCGGTCCCCGGTGCCCGAACTGCGCGCGCGTCGACGTGCCGCGCGCAGCTCAAGAGCCGGCGCGGCGGCGCGGAGAGGAGCGGCGTGGAGGTCAACGCGCAGGCGACGCGCGCGCTGTGCACGCTCGCGCGATTCGGCGAGCGGCGCGCGGCGACCGCGACGCTAGACGCGCTCGGGTGCGGCGCGAACGGCGAGTCGCGGCTCGCGGCGAACCGGGACGCCGGGATCAAGCACGAGATGCTCCTCGCGAGCCGGGCGGCGAGCCAGGCCATCTTCGCGTTGCTGCGGGAGAACGAGGCGCTGTCGGCCGCGCGGCGGCTGACGGTGCTGCCCGCGGCGCGCCTCTACGACGACCTCGGCGACGACGCGGTCGCGCACCTCGTGCCGGGCGACTTCGCCGCCAAGGACATGGAGGCGGAGCTCGAGGGGGCGGCGGCGGCGACGGAGCTGGCGGCGCTGGAGAAGACGCTGGCGTTCCTCGAGTCGCACGCCGTCGCCGACGGCGCGCGCCGGTCCGCGCCGTCGACGCGCGAGGACTGCGTCATCTGCCTCGAGGCGCTGGACGGCGCCTGCGTCTACGGCGACGGCGCCTGCGTCGCCGTGCTGCCCTGCGGCCACGGCTTCCACGGCGCGTGCCTCGACCGCGTCCGGCGGTCGCGGTGCCCGTCGTGCAACGCGAACTTCTCCGCGTCCGACGTCCGCCGCGCCGTCGCGGCGACGTCGCCGGAGCCCGCCTCGGGGGCCCCGGGCGCGCACGGCACGAAGCTCGACGCGTTCCTGCGGGACGCGAAGGCCGCCGCGGCCCGCGGCGACCAGTCCGTCGTCTTCTCGAACTTCGAGGAGGTCCTGGATTTCGTCGCGCGCGCGCTGGCCGACGCGGAGCTCGCGGTCGCGCGCTTCACGCCCGCGGGCGTCGCGGACTTCACGGCGCCGAGGAGCCCGATTCCCTTCCTGCTGGCGCCCGTCGGCCGCGCGAACAACGGG